TATATATATATATATATATATATATATATATTTTATTTATTTTGATTTTTAAAATATTTGTTTATTTACTTATTTTTATAAATTATTTATGTTCTTAATATATATATATATTTTTTATTTATTTTAATTTTTAAAATATTTGTTTATTTACTTATTTTAATTTTATTATTTAAATTAAGCTAAAAATGTTGTTTATATAGATGATTTTTTTTTAAATTGTTATATATATTTTTTTATAAATTATTTATTTTTTTAATATATATTTATATTTTTTTTATTTATTTTGATTTTTAAAATATTTGTTTATTTACTTATTTCAATTTTATTTGTATTTGCATTTGTATATCTAATGCAAACGTATGTCCCCTCTCTGTCTCTCTCTCTCGCTTTCGCACATTCTTTTCGTATGTCAAATTTCCAATTGGGTCGCACGCATCGCAACTTCTGCTATTTGCGAATTTTTTTTTTTCTTCTTTAATTTTTTTTGTTTTTTTTTTTTTTTTTTTTGCAAACGCGTCGATCGCGGAAACGAAACAAAATGATGTTGTTGTTGTTGGCGCTGCTCTTAGCCTACGTGTGTGTGTGTGTCTGTGTGTGTGTGTGTAAAGCAACGAACGCATTGCGTAATCGACGCTGCTCGTCGCTGCGCCTTTGCAGCTTGACAACACAGAGCAGCGCTGTCGGCAGAGGACGCTAGTTAAGTTCAGTTGGACGCCTAGTTAGCGCCTACATGTGTGCAGTTATCTTCCATGTGTGTGTGTGTGTGTGTATGTGTGCCCATGTGCTGGCTGTTTATAAAAGCAGTTAGAAGTCAAATGGCGCTGCCTTGCTGCGCTCTGAAGCAATGCCAAAGCAGGCAGCTTTCGTAAGCGTGCACTCGTATGCATGTGTGCGTGTGTCTGTGTGTGTGTGCGTGAATGTGAGCTTTTGTCAGCTGCTTTTCGGCGTCATGCGTAAGCGGCTATAAATTTAGCAAGCACCAAACAGAACGAGCAACGGCAGCAAAAGCAGAAGAACCAGAGCCAAAACGATGTCGTGGACTGCGCAGGCGTCAGCGTTGCCGTCGCTGCCGGCATCGACGTCAGCGTCGACAGTGACTTTTCGCTTTTTGTGTACAGTTGTTCATTTCATGCCTGCTTTTTCGGCCGAACGCGGAATAGAATTCTGTTTTTTTTTTCAGTTTCTTTTTTTTTTGCGAAATTAGCAACAACAACAACAACAACAACAGCGAAAATCTAACAGCGAATTCTTTTTATTTGCCATTTTATTTTTTGCCTGCCTTTTTTTTTGTCTTCTATAGCGACGCACAAAAGCGCGTCAAGTTTAGCCTATTGAGAACTACAACAACAACAACAACAAGAGGGCAGCGTATTTAGGTCAAACGCTCAACGCTGGCAACTGCGTGCCGATTGGCAAAAATACAAAAAAAAAAGCGAAAAAATTTAATTTTTTCTGTGCGAATTTTTTTTCCTTCTGGGTTTTTTGCTGATTTCATTTATCTTTGTGTGCGGCTGCCGCTGTTGTTGTTGTTGTTGTTGTTGTTGTCGCTGGTTGCTGGTTCTTCTAGGTTGTTAGTTGTCGGTGGTACACCAACAACAACAACAATAACAGCGACAACAATGTTTTTTATTGCCTATGGTGTGCGTTACCTAAATAACGGTCCATCAAACGTCATGGCCAAGATACATACACACATACATACATATGTACATATGTATGCATCTGTGAGATACGCAAGTATCTAGAGAATACAGAAGTATCTTCAAGAGTATCTGTCAGATAGATAAGTATATGAGCCAGTTGCGAAAAGTATCTGTGTGAGAGCTCTTACTAGTATGTGTTAGATGCAAACGTATCCGTTAGATATCAGAGTATCTGTGAGATACTTCAGTTCAATTGAATGCAAAAGTATCCTGTAGTTGCATAAGTAAATGTATGATACAAAATACTTTAGAGATAAATAATGCTGTTGTATCTGAATCTATATATATAAATATGTATATGTATCTGTAACTGTGTCTATATCTGTATCTTTCGTATCTATTAGATGTATTAGTATCTGTGCAATGCAAAAGCATTTCTCTATTTAATACAAATGTATCTTTGGAATACATATACATATATAGCTGTCAAATATTCCAGTATGAGATATCGAAAAGTATCTATAAGATAGAGAAGTTTCTATGAATAAGTAAAGTATCTATAAAACATATACATATGTATGTAAAAGATCCAATATACTTTCAATTGAATTCTATAATGCATATATGACCAGAACATGAGACAAGATTTAAGTATCTATCTATATGATGGATCTGATATAGCTGTATATGACAGATATTTATGATATGATGTAATAAAAGCAATACATAATATAATATAATATTCTATGTATAATATATGATATGACATAACATATCATTATTAATCTAAGCTTCAAATTTGATCTGATCTAAATATGCTTATGTATATACATACATACATACATACATATATACAATTGATCTTATCAACTCCATGCCATTTCCTCTATCTCTCTCGCCCACTCATTCTCCCTCTGTCTCCCCTTATCTTTGTAGCATAATCACAGAGAACACGTGCCACGTCTTTCAACATTCAAGTACATATTTATTTATTTGGTATTTTCATTCTTGCTGATTCTGTGTGAAATATGCTGTAGCTGCTACAAACGATTGCAGGTTAACAATAATATAATACGAATACAATGACAAACATCTACACGTGTGTGCGCTTCGGGGTAGTAAACATTCGTGTTGGTCCTTCGCTCGTCAACTTCATTCAGTGATCGAGCTATACTTTGTGTATGTGTGTGTGAGTGTCAATATCATATGTAGGGCAGCAGCAAGTCGAAATCGAAACTGTCGATTATCGATATGTGTATCGATATTTAAATATAGATATAGATATATACATACATATATGTATGTATAAGGATATGTGTGTGATTTAACAACATTATAAGCATTCCGCTAATCAGGTTAATCAATCAAGTGTAAGTCTGAGTGTGTGAGTGTGAGTGTGTGTATGCGTGTGTCGAGTTCTGAGTCTGTATTCCATTTCTGTGGATCTGCGTATATCTTTTACCCTTCCATTTCTTTTTATACTTTTTTTGGTATTTTTCTTCAGTTTTGTTATCATGTAAGCTGGTTGTACTTGTTGATGGATGTTGAGGATGCAATGTATCTTTACTTGGTGATTAATCAATTTTCCTGGCGCTCTAGCTATGTAGCTCTACTTAGAATTTGTGCTTGGATTTCTTACTGAGTGTGCGCTTTCGCTTCCCATCGGCTGGCAGCTTCGAGTGTGTCGACGTCTGCACGGCTTCTGGCAGGTGGAATCTCAGTTGCGGCTTCTGCTGATCTGGCTCTGGCTGCTGCTGCTGCTGCTTCTTCTTCACGGACGATGTGTTTAGCAGCTTTTTGCTCTTGCGCTTTGCCGACGTCGGGCGCTGCGGCGGCGACTGCTGCTGCTTCTGTGGGCTGGCCGGCGTCGCTGGCGCCGCCTTGCCGCCCCGAGCCTTGCGCAAGGCCTTCAGGTTCGGCTCGGAGAGCAGCTCGCGAAGCGTCAGCTTTGGCTTCTCGCGCTTCTGCCGCTGATCGCGAGGCGCCTTCGCCTTCGGCGAGCTGGCCGAAGGCGATGTCGGCTGCGTGCGCGGCGACTCCGTGAGGTAGGGCACCTGCTCGGCGAGATTGTCGTAGCGCGGCTGCTGCGCCTTCAAGCGCGCCTGCAGCTTGGTGGGCTTCACCGGCGGCGAATACGATTCCATCGAGTACAGCGTGGTCAAGCCGTTCGCGGCGGGCGCGGAGCTGATCTTCCAGCGACCGGCGCGCTCCATCTGAAACGCCCTATAGATGAGGTGCCGCGGCACGGGAATGGGCAGAGCCGCGTGCATTTCCTGAAAGAGAGGAACAGTCGAAAAGGAGAGAGTGAATTGGGACACGAGCCAGGAAATGGGATGAGACGAAAGTGGGAATACTTTGAAGGGCTGGGAAAGCAGACAGCAGACAATACCTCAACTAGGAACAGTTGGACTCGCACAGATTCGTTTTTACTGAGAAGAGATGTGATGAATCGTGAAGAATTGGAGCTGGGAACAGCTGAAACTGTAAAAAGATCAAACTTTGAACAGAGAAAACTGAACTGATGAAGCTGAGAGAGAAAGTGGGAATAGTTTGAGCTAGGAACAGTCTATGCTATAAGCAATTGGAGTTACATTTGTACAGATGAAAGTGCAAGCAGATGAAGCTGTGAAGAGTTTAAGCTATGAACATAGCTGTGAACAGCTTAGATTAGGAACAGATGAAGCTGCAAAGCCGAAAGTCATCAGCTATGAAGAGGTTAGGAAGAGAACAATTGGGGCTAGGAACAGTTGAAATAAGTTTCAGCTGTTCTCAGCCTCAATTGTTCTCTAGCTTAAGCTTAAGAGCTAGGAACAGTATGGGCTATGAATAAATGAAGAGATGAAACTGTGAACAGTTGAAGCTATGAACGGCTCAGGCTATGAACAGTTCAAGGTATGAACAATATGCACTATGAACAGTTTAAGCTATGCTATGAACAGTTGGAGTTATGAAGAGATGAAACTGAAGAGACGAAAGTCACGCGTTAAGGCTATGAACAGCTCAAGCGAGGAACAGTAATGGATAGGAACAGACGAAGCTGAAGACTTGGAACCGTGAACAGTTTAGGTTAAGAGAGAGAACAGTGTGTGTAATGAACAGTTAAATCGAGGAAAAGTTTTAACTGTCATTCTAAATATTACGAAAATAAATATATAGATTATTAGTAGACAAATGGAGAATACTTCAACCGCAGAGAAAACAGCTAAAATGTATGCCCAGGTGTCTGAGCAGTATAAATAGAAATGCGAATTCAATAGGAAATGCATTAGGATCTCTACCTACCGAATTGTAGAGTTGCCGTTGATCCTTGCTGAGCTTCGTCCAGGCATCGGGTGCCCGTTCCATGGCCTCGTCGATGCTGCAGTTGTGCATAATGCAGAACTCCCGCACATAGTTATAGAACTGTATGGGCGTGGCGTTCTTTGGACGAAAGTGGGCCATAGCTGCGATGAGGCCGATGCGTTTCTCGTTCGGCGATTTTGGCGTTTGGTGTGGCTGCGATTTCGGTGAATCGCGCAGCGATTCAGCCTCGCTCGAATTGATTTTGTTCTGTGATTTTTGTATTTTCTGCTTGTGTTGTTTATCTTTTTGCTGCGGCTGCGGCTGTTGATCTGGTGGTTCTGGTGGTTGGTGCTCCTGTTGTTGCTCCTGTTTGGGCATTTCTTCTAGTTGGCACTCATCGTCGTCTTGCCCGTCTTCCTGTTGTTGCTGTTGCTGTTGCTGTTCTTCTTGCTGGCGCTGCTGCGGCAGTAGCGGCGACGGCGACGGCGACGGCGACGGCGACGGCGGCGGCAACTGCAGCTCTTGTTCGTTTCCTTTTAGAATTTGTGTCATTTGAACGCGATACGAAATTTAGTTTACACCGATTATCAATGGGGATTTATACACTATCACTTTCTACGAATTTTACAATAACGTTTTTGCCAAATAATGAAATAAAAATTCAAAATTAGAAAAAAAAAATAAATAAAACGTGTGCTAGAGTCGAGCACTATTTATAAAATGAAACTGAACTGGAGCTGCTCTGAGGCCTGCCTGAAAATCGAAGGCAAGGCCTACTTTGAACACAAAAAAAAAACACACACACAAATCGAAACAAGTCTGAATATATCGATAAATTTTGATGTGATATCGAACATTTGAATACATCATTTCCAGTTGATATCGAAAATTTGAACACATCGTTTCCATTTGGAACTTGACTTGAGAGATTTATTTCCCACAGCACAGCCATCGGAATGGAACACAAGTTCTCTTGTTGTATCCGCCCATTTAATTCAACTAGCGACATGGTGACGTCTTTTATGCTTGGAATACTGAAATAGAACACAAAAGTGATTGCTTAGCTGTGTCTGCTTAGCTCAACTCAGCCCGGCTCAGTTTCCGCTCATATCTTTATCAGCTGATTTAAGAATTCAGTGCGCATTCCAGTCGAGCATTGATATTGGGAGCGCACAGCAAAATGGAATACTATTAGCAAAAGGGAATGGCAGCGTCACTGCAAAGGCTGTACTGGTGGGAATACTGAAATGAAATGCTAAAGAGTTCACTCAAAGGTCAAATCGAATCGCAATCCGAACAGTTTCTGAAAAGAAACACTAAAAATTGTCAAAACAATTTCACAAATGCTTTTTAAGATTATATAAATATGATATAATCTGTATCGAATAATATCAGAAAGGTAAAAGGATTAACTGCTGGGAATGCTGAAGTGGAACAATAGCGAACACGAATTATAGTATATTTCTTAAGTTTCTTTATCCTTATGCTAACTCAAATACATAAGTTATTAATTCAGATGCTGGGAATGGTGGAATAAAACAGATAGATTTAAGAAAAGTATATTAATGGCTTTTCTATTATTTATAAATGTATAATTAGAGCTGACAATGGCTCAAAATTGCATTCATTGCAAGAAACGCTGGAATGGAACAACAAAAAGTGCCCAGAACCGTCTTTAAATTAGTTACTAACCTTATATAAATCAATTTTGTCTCCAAGTAATGGAAATTTTAGCTTAAACAACAGCAACTATTAGAAATGCTGGAATGGAACAGCAATCCGATCGCATGGCACTTTATAGATTAATACTCCATTCTATATAGATAATCCAAAGCTAAAAATTAAATCGATTCTTAGCTTAGATACCCTTTACTGCTTGGAATGCTGGAATGGAACAGCAATCCGATCACATAACATTGCATAGAATCGTAATCAATTCTATATAGATCACATAGCAGCTAAACAACAATTCAATTCGTAGCTTCGACACCCTTTACTGTTTGGAATGATGGAATGGAACAGCAATCCGATCACATAACACTGAATAAATTCTATATAGAACACCCAGCAGCTAAACAACAATTAAATTCATAGCTTAGATACCCTTTACTGCTTGGAATGCTGGGATGGAACAGCAATCCGATCACATAACACTTTATCAACAACTTTTTTCCACTTCTCTGACAATCGCCCGATAATATCAAGCCATTGCGACAGCTGCGACTGTGACAACGCCTAATGCTCGATTCCCCGGACATTTATTCCGTATGCCCAGCCCCCGCTACCCTATATACGTACATATATGTATATCGAATGCTACTACTACTACTACCCACTCGACTAGTTGCCGGCTATGCGATGCGATGCGATGCCATGCCATGCCGGGTTGTCGCGACGCGGCGTCCGTTCCATTAAACCATTTGTTAGAGCTATCGACGGACCGCGGTGCACACACTTGAGCGGCGCTCGAGCGTTGTTAACCTTGAACATGCGCGCTGCGATGACGGCTACCCGACTTTCCGACTTCCCCGTTTCAGCAATCGTTGCTATATATACATACATATATATATATATATATATATATATATATATATGTGTGTGTTTATAGTATAAGAATAGAACAGAAAACTTCTAACAAGTTTTGCGCGTGCGCAGCGCGAATGCAGCTCAGCCGGAGGTAAAGCAAAATGAAAGAAAAGCAAAGCAATAGAACGGATAACAAATGAAATGTTGAGAAAAAAAAACGAAGAAAAAAAATCAACAATAAAAAATCATAAAAAATATATGCATATAGATATGTACATATATGTATATATGTATATATGTATGTATATCAATTCTAACGCAACAGGGTGGCTTTAGCAGTCCCAGATGAAAGAGAGCTGGCTCAAACTATATATATATACACACACACTCGGTAACTGCAGGCGGCATTTACTTTTCAAGTTCCGTCATTAAAGCGAAACGAAATGAAACGAAACGAAACGAAATGAAATGAAATGAAACGATAGCCAAATCAAACAAAATCGAAATGGTGGCCAGAGAGCTCGCACGACTATGCGATTCAATGTCAACGGCGAGCGGAAGGTGTGCAATTAGTTTGGCTCATTAGAGCTACCTGGCAGATGCAGGTGTCAAGGGCAGTCCAGCCGTCGGCATTATCCATTGAAATCGGCCGTTAAATAGTTAACTTTCAAAGCGGTTTCTCGCCCCTCGATTAGTCATTGTCATAGTCATAGTCATATACTATATATACATACATATGTATGTATATACTATATGCTGTATATAGCAACTGTACTTTGGTATTTGTGTATGCATACAGCTGGCTCGCATAAGTCTTGGCTAACGATCAAGCATGCAAAATTATTCCTATTGCAATACCCTGTACACGTTGCCAGCCAACGGGAGGGGTATAATCAGCCGGTATATACATATGTACATGTCTCTACTCTATCAAGTTCTATCAACTCTGGTGCATATTTGCTAGTCAATCACTTCTCTCTCTCTCTCTCTCTCTCTCTCTCTCTCTCTCTCTCTCTCTCGCTCTCTTT